GATATAAAACAAAAATATACTTTAGTTTTAAAAGGGGTCATTCAAAATTACATCACTGATAATAAAATTGAATCAGGATGTGATGTTCATGAAAATAGTGAAAGTTTTTTAAAAGAAAACGGATTAAGTTATAGTCATGCTACAGGGCATGGAGTTGGTATTATTGTTCATGATATGTTTCCACGAATATATGCTAAAGGTAGTATGCTATTTAATAATCAAATATTTACTATTGAACCTGGTTATTATCACGTTGATAAGAATTCGCCTGAAAATGAATACGGGATAAGGATAGAAGACATGGTTTTTTATAAAGATGGCAAAGTTACAAACATGACATGCGTACCTTATCATTTAGATCTGATTGATTTTAAATTACTGAGTAACAAGGAAATTGAATATTTAAATTTGTTTAATAAACAAATAAAGATTTCTTTAAAGGATAAAATTCCAAGCAGTAATAATTATTTTATTAACAACACTAAAGAAATTCCATTAAATATTTAAGGTTGATTAAGTAAATTTTATTTTAATTTTTTCATTTTAAACTTCTAAAAATGATCAAAAAATAAAAATATATATTATACTTTAAAGAAATAATCATTTAAGTATGACTTTTAAAAGTAAAAATATCAAATTTTAAATATATAAAGTAATATAAAACAAATTTCAATAAAAAAAATAATAAAATTTTTAATTGTTGCTTAGTTTTTAACTCATAAAATGATTATTTATAATTAAATAGTAATTAAACCTATTTTTAAAATTTTAAATAAAATCATTATGAACAATGATTTTATTTAAAAAGATTCATTATTATAAAGTATAAACAAAAATAAAATTTCAGTCATTTCTAGCAAAATATCAACATAAAATATTTAATATGTTTATAAGAAGATTGGTGATATTAAATTTTTATTAAAAAATGAATTTATAACGATAATTTTTATTTATTTTACTTATTACTACAAGTACTAATTAACATTATTAAAAGAGAAATATTAAGAGATAATAATTTATAATTTTTAATTGCCAACTTAGATCTAATAACAAGTATAAGATTTTAGAAAACTAAGAAATGGTTGAAAATACTTTATTACTTCTAAGAGTAAAAAATTATAAACAATGTTATAAATTAATATAAAATCAATATTTGTTAATATAAAATCCTTTTATGTAATGATTAATAAAATATAACATAATTAGAAATTATTATTATTTATAATCAAATTTTAACAAAGAAATAAAAGAAACTTAAAATAAAATTTTATAAACAATAGTGTTAGTTTTCTTTTTATGAAAATTTAAATGAATTTATATAATTATATTTAGTAATAATTTAGAATAATTAAAAGTTAATAATAAAATTAATATTTTATTTTACAATCATTAAGATTAATAGCTTAAATTATAGTAGAAAGCAAAACATTATAATATAAACAACGATGAATACTTAAAAGTTTATTTTTTAGGTACCTCAAATATTAAAGTATATTTTTTATTTAATAAAATTTTAACCAATAAAAAATTCTCATATGTTTCAAAAGTCACAGAATTAATAAACGA